TCTTTACCATTCTTGTCCTGTGAGTTTTGTTACTGAGGTACCTCATGAATGCAGAGGTCACCGTGGCAAAAGAACATGCCGATGTTCTTTGGCTTTATGACGCCTCTATCATCCTGTTTCCATGTCATTCTCTGGGGGATCCTTCAGAAAAAGAGCGTGGCGTGAATGCCGGGATCTCTGAGGTTCCAACGCGTGGCTTCAGCCGGATCAAGAAGGCCAGCATCTCAGTCTCTGTGGCGTCCAAAAGCTGTGAAACAGCCCGCCCCACCTGCTAGGTCAGGCTGTTTGAGCCTCGAGTTTGACGCTAAGTTTCACCTTTGCCGCGAGAGTCTTGCTTGCTATGAGTACAAGGCAGATTATGCTGGTAAGCTTTGTCGATTTGCACTTGCCCGGATGATGCTTAGGCCTAAGTAAACTTGTAACATGAGAAACAAAAACATAAATCCAGGAGCACGCGTGGGGAGAGACAGTTTGCCCCTTTGTGTGAATTGTCTTTTTGCCATGAAGATGATTTGAGGGGTTGGCATAAACAGACTCTTGGCGCTCAATTTGCAAACTCAAACCAACTATATAACTGGCTGGTCTCACCCTAGATTGGAGCCCCGTGCAGTGTCTCTCTCTCTCTCTAGTATTTTGTTGTTGCACTTTGTTCCGAACACCTCCTGTCTCTTCCAACCAAGCACTTAGATTGATCATGAGAAGGCCGTGTGAAGCCTACCGCAGCGAGGTCTTATTTTAAAGAAGACCAAGCACTCGCAATTAAATACCTTGCAAAGTGTTGGACGTGCTCAAGTGTGCAAGAACGTGAGGCTGGAATCTTGGTTCGAGCTCGCTTTGAGCTTGCCAGTGGCGAGGACATGGTGAAGCGGGATACAATGTGCCGTATTCAAGGCATTTTTGCAACAAAACAGTAACCGCTTTCGAGTCCACTGCAGGAAGCCATCCTCGAAATTCCAGAAGAAGCAGTTCTTGATGCAAAGGACGGGATGACCTTGCACAAACCCACAACAACTCGGCAATCAGAAACAAGCACGAAGGAAGCAGGCAGTGCGTGGTCACCATAAATGACACGGTAAACATACCAACAACCCTTGTTGGGCCATCCCAGTCCTTGAAATGTGGGATGTTGGATGATGTTGACCATTTGAAATGTCTCTCTTTCAGAACATCAAGACCGAAATCGTCAAGTGGGTCAAAGAGAATTGTGCCCGGCGCCTCAGATGGAAATGTGACATCCCAGTGTTTCACACGAGCCAGACAGTGCTGTCGGTATCCGTTGGCAAATTCTAAATGATGAAGGAGGTCAATTGGCAATACCCCAAGCCCAAGAACTCAAACAAAAGGGGTTCATCTACTTCTCTCATCTCCCTAAATCTTCTGGTCTAGATTAGGAGAGATTGCCAGAATCTTGGAAAGTTGAAGGCCAAGGTTCGCAGCGGTTCCATGTCGCCACGCATGTCGAGCTGAGTTGGATCTTGGACGCCAGGTACAACCCAGCGAGACCACTTCCTTGTACCGCTTAGTCAAGTCGCTGATGTATCGAAGTACTTTGGAATCCAAGGCACCGTGGCCAATCAACGAACGAGATATCAAGAGCATGCATAGGCGTAGAAGAACTGAATCGCTGTGTGTGTTTTCGGATGTATTGTATCGATATATTGCTTCAAGGACGGGCTGAGTGGAAGTGAGTGGGGGCAGGTGATGATAGGTGGAAATGATTGAATCAACTTACGGAGATATCATGGTCCAAGAAGAATGAGTGAACAAGCCATCAAACATATGTTTGTTTGCCAGACGGCTCACATTATTCAGCGCATCAACGACTGCAGCTTTGACAAGGTGCTGCAGGTGGGTCACCAGCAGTTTGGTTCGCTGGAGTTTCAGGGTCTTTGCGGATTTCTGCACTGTGGCATGTTAAAGTTAAAGGTAGAACTGTCATGTTAAAGGTAGAACTGTCATGACTCCTTTGATTATGAACAGTTTGCGAACAGTTATTGACTGTTCCTACTTTTGATGCCCCCCTTGGTAGAGCCTTGCTTGTCTCCAAGAAATTGTGCCTTGATCACTCTAATCCAAAGAACCCGCCTTGCTTTTATTTTCCGAGAAGCTCTGGTGTATTGACTGCAAAGTAAGACCCCCAATCCACTTGCTTTGCAGGAGCCTGCACCCTGCAATACTTTAGGGGAGGGAGGCAAACCAGTTTGTACAGTTTGCTCACCCTCAAAAAGGAGCTACGTATGCTGAAGAGTGATGTAAATATCAATGTCATTCCATGTCTATGTGCTGGAGATAATACCCTGGACAAAGCGACCAGGCTCACGACAGTGAGGATCACTTGACTTTGTTCGAGCTCACCAAGGTAGATTTTGGAGGGTTGAGAGACTGGTTGTGGAGGGTTTATTGTTCAAGGCTCTCTCTCTCTCTCTGTATACAGCAGTATACAGGCTATTTGGCTTGGAAACAGTACTGTCACAGGCCCAACACTTTGTACTCGTAGACTTACTGTAGTTGCTTAGCTTAGCTGTGCATTGTCAAGCTTTTTGGTATCGGCTGAATGGTATGGGTGAGTGAAGCGGCACCTCAGCTGAAGCGCAACCTCTGAGTGAATGCGGGTAAATGTGCTTGTTGTACTTTAATCGCCAAGTCTACAAAGTTGTTGAACTGCCCGCCCATTTGTCGTTGTCCAGAAGCTAGACTAGACTAATCAGATGCATCACTTCAAATATTTTAGCATTGTCACTTAGATATCAAAAGGAATCAAAAGGGTCAGCTTGGATGAGAACGGGCGGGATCGAATGTGAACCTTCCCTTTCCTCCAGCGCTTTTGTCAGGCGCATCTGCGGGAGATTGAGCACGACATCCCAAAGCTGATTGGCCATCAGGGGTCAGAGCCACCAGTATGAGATGTGATGTCTTTGATCTGTGCTTCAAGTTTGCATCATCCAATCGCATTCCAATCATTGCGTCATGAATCGATCAGCGCCCAATGAGAGGCAATCAAGGAGGCTGAAAACAAAGATCCCTCCTTTTTCCTTGAGGACTGCCGCCTCAATGGTGGTGCAAATCCTCCGAAGGAACGTGGAAAAGATGAAGGTTTGCAACCCAGGAACTTGGAGTGTGAAGATTCTCCATCTGCTGAAATGTCCTGCCAGCAAGGCTCAGGCACATTAGATCCAAAGATTTGTTCAAAAAATGTTCCAAGCAACATGTCTCACTTTGCTCCCTTAGGATCCTTGTCCGGCTTGTTTAATTTTTGAGACAATGCACTGCTTCTGCACATGGCTGAGGTCATTAATGACCTCTCCTTCAAGCCTTTTCGACCTGTTTGCTTCAGCTCGGCCCTTGTAATTGTTTATAACTTTTTTTGGGTCGCTAGGCCGCTAAGACTGAAGTGAAGAGAAGGGTCCCTCAGCAAAGAGCAGGATAAGATCCAAGCAGGCCTCTGACGTTGCAGCCTGTACCTCCACTTTGGTGTGCCCAGGCGACATGGATTAGATTAAACTGGTTGTTGTCTAATGTTATCTTATTCATCATTTTTTGGGCTCCAGTCTAACTGGGATTCCCCAGCATCAATCCATATCAATCCGCTTTGATCGGCCAGGATTCATGAGAGCAGAGCGGTCTCATGAGCGAGGCAAAGACCCTTGCACCGCAGAACCGCCGTGCTGTCCACTGCGGCCATAGGATAGTGCAGAGTGGACATGTTGGCTGTGAGAAGGTGCTCGCGCGGATTGGCTGAAGACTTCAGATTTCATTTATGTGCTCGCGCTGGCGGATGAAGCATTGCCGTGATGACGGAGGATGTCAAGATCCTCCTCGACCATTGTGCCAGAAAATCAAATGTATAAGTCAATTCTAGAGTTCACCCAGTCACCCAGGCTTTAGAGCGACAATAAAATTTGTGGCTTCACATTCAGGCTCGGACGGTGAATTTCCTTTGGCTCTTGCCTCCTGAAACCGTTGTGGATTTCCCTGGGTTGAAAGGCACAGATCAAGGTCAATGCAGAACTGCCATGGCTACCAGGTACGCCTGGGTACCAGTTGGAAGTCTTTAAGGAGTCCAAGCTGCTTTCCCAAGTCTGATCAGCCATCGAACAAACCTTTCAGACTTGAGAGATGTATTTTGATGTGAGGTTTTCTGGCTCAAGATGCCTAGTGAGCCTAGTGTCAAGCAGAATGGCAAGTTGCAGCTCCGGTCCTGAATACTGCTGCAGCCTAGAATTTGCCATCGCTGGAGTTATCAAGTCCAGTCATGTCCACTGATCCATGAGAAAACATGTTGAGGAGGGCGCAGAATTGTATCCGCTTTGTCACAAGAACAGAGAAATCACGAGAAAACACATCAAAAAGGTCTTCGATGCCAATTGAGAGGCAGTTTGTTTAGATGAAGCAAGCGACCTGCATTGCAATCTTGCAGATACCATGGACATCAAGCAAGCATGCATGCAAAAACAAAAGACGTTTCATGAAGCATAGACCCTGTATGGAAAAAATCACACTGACCTCATTCATGTTTTTTCTACGTAGGACCAAAGCAGGCCACGAAGCCATGATTCCCAGATGAGGCACAGGCGGCACCCGTGAGGCCCTCGAGCCGCCGGTCGGATGCCTTATCCATATCGATGGCCAACGCCTTAGCTTTGAGAAGCCTGTGAGAGCCACGGGCAGTGTGAAGTGTTCTTGTTCCACCCATGCATGCAGTGCATGAGTCTCCTCAAAAATCCTAGGCGGCCTTGGCGTTTCTTTGGAACGTCCTTTGCCTTGAAGTCCTCGCCCAAGGCTGGCATGAAATATTGTGGGGCACGCCCTTGAATACCCTGCCGAGGCTGAAAATATCAAATAATCTTCCACACGGATGTTCATCAAGATGCCACGAGGTGGTCTAGTCTTGACCCCGCCCCCAAGTGATTTGAACTGTGGCTGGTCACACGCGTTTGTTGGATCATCCATCGAAACGATCGAAACACTGAGCACGACTGGGCCTCAGCGGCACAGGCGATATGCCCATGAACGTCGAGAGTCATCCCTTGGGCTGGGCTATGAGCTCGGAGCTTCTTCCAGGCCACTTGTTTTAAAAATCTTAAACAATTATTTATTACGTTTTTACTATGTTTTTTTTCAAAGGGGGGGTAGCGCCGCTAAGAGGAAGAGGTAGGAGGTAGTAGGTAGCTGGTAGCTTAAGTAAGCTTCTAGGTACAGGACGCTACTAATTACATCGGGATCAGGGTTCTTTTGCTTGGTTCTGGTCGTTTAATTTACTGCAGCCGTTCGTACTTGCAGCCTGGAATTTGGTGTAGGTTCTTTGAAGCAAAGACTACCAGCCTTTTGGTACAGTGCACAAGTTTAGGAAGTCTTTTATGTCGTGGTCAGTTGCAGGCACTGTGGTGGGTCAGGGGCGCTACGTCCTGGCAGAGAAGCTTTGCGAAGTTTGCCGCCTCCCACCGCGCACGCGTGCTTCTGAGCATCTTGCACTGCCTGAGCCAAGCCATAGGCAAGCAGGCTTTGGTGTAGGTACACCAAGCCGGTGAATGTCGAGCAGTGAAGCTGTTTACTTCTCTTTGCTTTCATTTAGCAACACTGCTCAGACACATTGTAGAACTTGAAAGAATAAGTGGCGAACCATTTGTACGTTTCAATTTGCACCAAAAGTTTGACAGTGATTGGGTTCCATCCTACAGATAGATTGGACTCCCGGCAAACCATGCTGTGAAGGCTGCTGCTCGATGATGGACAAGGGCAGGGTCAAGTGGTGCCTTACGAGGCAACGGTGCTGGAAGAGCAAACCAGAAGATCCAAGTCACTGGATCCACTATGATCCACTCGTAGATCCAAGCACTCCATGCATCTCATTGCAATCACATCCAACAGTTCCGCAACAGCTTGTGTGAGAGACTGCAGCTAGACAACAAGAAGCTACTAGGGACTCCTGGCCTTACTACTAGGAGCAAGGACGCCACTAGGGACTCCTGGCCTTACTACTAGGAGCAAGAACGCTACTAGGGGCTCCTGGCCTTACTACTAGGTGCAAGGACGCTACTAGGGGCTCCTGGCCTCACTACTAGGAGCAAGGACGCCACTTGGGACTCCTGGCCTTACTACTAGGAGCAAGGCGCTACTAGGGACTCCTGGCCTTACTACTAGGAGCAAGGACGCTACT